CCCCTCTTCCCACCCTGTGTCCCCCCCCCAACCCCTCCCCACAACCTTTTAAAGGCCGACCCTTCATCCTGCATCACCCACCCATCGCTGGAGAGGAAGAGGGGGGGCTGCAGCCTCCATGGAGGGGGGGGGCTCGACGGTGGGCAACCCTACCCTCCCTCCGGCCACCTTCCCCACTAGCCACTGCCACCCGGTGACTAGCCCAAAGAGGGGAGGCTGATGGGGTGGGGACGCAGGGGACAGGATGGCTCTGGATGTCCCCAAGGCGTAGGACGTGCAGCCCCCAGGGCTGGAAGAAGAAGAAGAGGAGGAGGAGGAAGAGGAGGAGGAGAAGACGACCAGACCTTGGCTACCTCCCCCATGCTCCATCGCTGCTCCGGAGACGTTGGCATCGCACGTGGCTTCATCGAGGAGGTGGTTTCACCCCTTTTTGCCCTTTTCCTCCTTAAAAGAGGGGGTCACCCCAAGAAGGAGGGGAAGGGCTGCTCCTTGGCTTTCCCTGCCCCGGCGGGGATGTGAAGGGGGGGCAGGTTTGTCTGGACCCCACCCCGCTGCCCTGCTTTGGGACCTCGACGCGCGCCATGCAGCCCATCACCCTGCAGAACCTCTCCATGTAAGAACCTCCCTTCCTCCTTGGCAAATTTTTTACACCCTGAGCTTTTATCAGAATTTTATTCTTAGTGCCGGTAGAAAACTCCTCGCTGGGGTGGAGGGGGGGAAGAAAAAACAACTAACCCCCCCAAAAACCCACCCTGTTTCTCTCCTCTCTCTTCTCCCAGATGTTTCCAGCTCCTCATGTTCTCCTGTCAGACTCAGGTAGGTGGAAATGTTTTACTAACCCCGGGTTGGGCAAAAGCACCCGCTTTATGACCCACATCCCATCAGGGATGTCTTTTCCTATGGTGGGGGGGTGGTTTTCCTGGAGGGGGGGCTTTCCTGGGTACCCATCCCGGGTGGTACCCAGCCCTGTGCAGGGAAGGATGCTGCGGAGATGCCCACAGGGAAGCACCCTCTGCTCCAGAGCCCAAACAAAACCCCCGTAGCTGCCGGCCCCAACAGCCTTAATACATGCTCAGGACCTTTTTTCTTTTTTTTTTTTCTTTTTTTCTTTTTTTTCCCCCCTTCTTTTCCCAAGGTAAATGCTTTTATTTCTTTGAAAATGAGAGGGGAAGGGAACCGCCTTTGATGGAGAGGGGGCCTCCCCCCCCATCCCAGCCCACCTCCTCCGCCAGCCCCAAAGGCTTTAAAGTGGATCCTGGCAGGAAATGAGTCCCCGGGCTCACACAAAGGTGGTGGGGGGGTCGGCAGTGCCCCCCACCATCCCCACAAGAGCAGGCAGTCCCCTTGTGTTGGGCTTTACTCCCAGCGAGGTGATGCAGGGTGACAGGTCCCATCTACCTGGGTGATGCTCTGCACCCCGAACCGGCCAGACAGACCCCCAAAAATCCCTGGATTTCCTCATAGGATGAGCTCCTGGAGCACATTTTCCTGCCCACAGCCCTTTTTTGGGCTGGCTCAGCCATGGTTGGTGTCCCTTGGGTGCTTCTCACCCAGTGAGGTGATGCTGCAGCCCAAGGGATGCAGGGCAGCGGGTCCCCAGGCACCCAGGTGATGCTCTGCACCTCAAACTGGGCAGATAGACCCCAAAAACTCCCTGGATCTCTCCATGGGATGAGCTCCCGGAGCACATTTTCCTGCCCACAGCCCTTCTGGAGCTGTTTTTGGGGCCACTTCAGCCATGGCTGGTGTCCCTTGGGTGCTTCTCACCCAGCGAGGTGATGCTGCAGCCCAAGGGATGCAGGGTGGGAGGTCCCATCTACCTGGGTGATGCTCTGCACCCCGAACCGGCCAGACAGACCCCCAAAAATCCCTGGATTTCCTCATAGGATGAGCTCCTGGAGCACATTTTCCTGCCCACAGCCCTTTCGGAGCTGTTTTTGGGGCTGTTTCAGCCATGGCTGGTGTCCCTTGGGTGCTTCTCACCCAGCGAGGCGATGCTGCAGCCCGGGGGATGCAGGGTGGGAGGTCCCATCTACCTGGGTGATGCTCTGCACCCCAAACTGGGCAGACAGACCCCAAAAAATCCCTGGATCTCCCCATGGGATGAACTCCTGGAGCATATTTTCCTGCCCACAGCCCTTCTGGAGCTGTTTTTGGGGCTGTTTCAGCCATGGCTGGTGTCCCTTGGGTGCTTCTCACCCAGTGAGGTGATGCTGCAGCCCAAGGGATGCCGGGCAGCGGGTCCCCGGGCACCCGGGTGATGCTCTGCACCCCAAATTGGGCAGACAGACCCCAAAACCTCCCAGGATCTCCCATAGGATGAACTCCTGGAGCACATTTTCCTGCCCACAACCCTTTTTTGGGCTGGCTCAGCCATGGCTGGTGTCCCTTGGGTGCTTCTCACCCAACGATGCCTTCTCACCCAGCGAGGTGATGCTGCAGCCCGAGGGATGCAGGGCAGCGGGTCCCCGGGCAGCTGGGTGATGCTCTGCACCCCAAACTGGGCAGACAGACCCCAAAAAATCCCTGGATCTCCCCCTGGGATGAGCTCCCGGAGCACATTTTCCTGCCCACAGCCCTTTTTTGGGCTGGCTCAGCCATGGTTGGTGTCCCTTGGGTGCTTCTCACCCAGTGAGGTGATGCTGCAGCCCAAGGGATGCAGGGCAGCGGGTCCCTGGGCACCCAGGTGATGCTCTGCACCCCAAACTGGGCAGACAGACCCCCAAAACTCCCTGGATCTCCCCATGGGATGAGCTCCCGGAGCACATTTTCCTGCCCACAGCCCTTTTGGAGCTGTTTTTGGGGTCAGTTCAGCCAAGGCTGGTGTCCTTTGGCTGCTGCCCTGAGTCCCAGCTTCCCCCTTGCACCGGGATTAAATCAGGTCTTCTCTTAGGATGCGCGTTGAGAGCCCCTAATTAGAGTCTGGCACCCAGACTGGGGCTGACCACCAGTGCTAATTTCCCCCTTCCCCAGCTCATCTGCATTAATTAGCCGTCATTTACCACACAACAACCCTCCACGGAGCTGGTTTGGGGCTGGGAGGTGGTTTATTCCCCTGTCCCAGGGTCCGTGCGTGCTCAGGGTGGACTGGGAAGGGGACAGCTCTGCTCCTTGGGACACCCAGCCTGGATTTAGGAGGGTCTCAACCCCCCCAAAGAAGGACCCAGTGGGTGTTTCACAAGCTCAGCCCTCGCATCCCAGCCTGGCCTTGGAGCAGAGGGTGCTGCCTGAGGAGGAGATTGTCTGAGGGTCAGCAGCTCAACCCCATTCCTGAGGGACCAGTTGGCTGTTCCTGGAGCAGAGCATCCTTCCCCGTGTCCTCCTCACGCAGGGGATGCAGAGCATCCCCCCAAGGAACTGAGCATCCCCCCGAGGAACTGGGCATCCCCCAATCTGGGCATCTCACTGAGGAGCTGGGATGCTCAGCCAAGCTGCTTCCTGCCTTTCCCTTCTTCCCCCCCTCACCCCATCCTCTCAGGCTGCACCATCCCTTTTTGTGGGCTTTAGAAAGGCCGAGGCTATTAAAATCCACTGTTCCATATCAGCACCCTCTGCTCCAGAGCCCAAACAAAACCCCCGTAGCTGCCGGCCCCAACAGCCTTAATACATGCTCAGGAAGGAGGAGATTGTCTGAGGGTCAGCAGCTCAACCCCATTCCTGAGGGACCAGTTGGCTGTTCCTGGAGCAGAGCATCCTTCCCCGTGTCCTCCTCACGCAGGGGATGCAGAGCATCCCCCCGAGGAACTGAGCATCCCCCCGAGGAACTGGGCATCCCCCAATCTGGGCATCTCACTGAGGAGCTGGGATGCTCAGCCAAGCTGCTCCCTGTGTCCCCACTCACAGGGGGCTGTGTTGGTGCAATAAGGGGGGCTCTCCTGACCCCCCCAGAAGCTGCCAGTCCCCCTTCTCCTCCATCAGCATCGGGATGCTCAGCCTGGCTCCCACCTTGGGGAGCTGGTCCTGGTGGATCGGGGTTGGTGCTGTGGTGAACATGGCAAGGAGGGTCTTGGAGGGGGGGATGAGAGAAGTGGATTTGGGGTGGGCAGGGGGGGTGGCAGCACCTCTTGGGCCCCATCCCAAAGCCCTGGGTCTCATCCCAAAGCCCCTGGCCTCATCCCAAAGCCCCCAGCTCCATCCCAAAGCCCCCAACCCCATCCCTATGGATGCCCTGCCTCTCCCTGCCTGTCGCTCTCGGGTCTAAACCATCCTCTTGGTGCCTTCGTTGTGGCTCAAAAGGGGACCAGTTTGGCTAGTGATGGTGGGACCAACCCCTTGCCCACATATGGGGGTGGCAGGTGGCTCTCCATGTCCCCCCAGGGCCAGTTGGGCACCCCCTTTCCCCAAGAAGGGCTCCCTTCTCCATCCCCTTGCCCTCGGCTCTCCAAAACGAATTGATTTTCTTTTTCCCTTTGTAAACAAAGGGGGAGAATCAACCGTCTCCTAATTTTAACCAGTACGTGAGGGACCAGGGGGCCGTGAGCGACCAGCTGAGCCGGCGGCAGATCAGGGAGTACCAGCTCTACAGCCGGACCAGTGGCAAGCACGTCCAGGTGAATGGCAAGCGGATCTCCGCCACCGCCGAGGACGGCAACAAATTCGGTAAGAAACCGGTGACTTCCCCCCCGGGGGGGTGTATCCAGGGCTGGAAAAGGCTGGGGGAAAATATGAGGGCTACAGGGAGGTTTTGGTTGCCGTGTGGAATTGGAGTTTGGACTCGATGATCTCCAAGGTCCCTTCCAACCACCGAGATTCTGTGATTTTGTGATTCTGTGTTTTTATACCCCAAAAATTCCCCCTCCCTGGGAGCTCCTGTGAGAGCACGGCTCCCAAGCAGCCAGCCCTGACCTCAAAACTTCCAAAAAAATCACGCTTTTCTCTGCCGCCGCTTCTCCAAGCCCTATATTTAGGGCTTGTGCTTTCCCATCTCCTCCCTGACGCCAGATTTCCTGGAGGAGCATCCCCTCATCCCAACACCAACCTCTTCAACATCCAACATGGGATGGGCAGCCCACCCCGAGCCCCATCGCCTTTCCCAAGTGGTTTTTCCTGCCACCCCCAGCCCTGACGCCCCGTCGATGGGCATCACAGCCCCCCAAGTCCAGGCTGGCACCCCCCAGCACCGAAATCTTCCAGAAAAAGGCTTTTTTTGAAGCTGATTCACCATTTTTCCAGGTCTCCCTGCTCTGGCACGGGGCTGTGGGGAGCAGAGGACTTGTCAGGGTCATGGTTTTTGGTGTCAGCTCCCAACCTTTGGAGTGTCCTGGAGACACAATGAGGACGAGGATAATTAACCCACCGGGTGCCAGACTCGGTCCAGCCCTGGAGAACCCATTGAATCGTTGACAATGAGGATGTGCTGGGTCGGGGGGGGGATGGGGGGGGAGAGGAAGGGGCCGT